AAAAGCACAAGAGAAACAGGAAAGATTTACAAGGATTTAACTCCTTCCTTGCAAGGGTTCTTAGAAAGTGTAATCTTAAATCCTGCTGAGAAAAAAGAGCTGCAGTTTCCCTTCACAATCAAGAAACATTTGAGATGCCACTGGGCCCCGAGGGCGAGACCAGAGAGGAAGAGGCTTAAGACTGGCGGTTTTATCCCTTTGGACAGAGGAAGACTGAGCTGCAGAATTTGGAGTGAACGTCTAAGAAGCCATTAAGATTTTAGAGAGTTTTAGTGTAGATGTAAAGGCGGAAGGTCTCTGGAAATTGCCTTTATGAAGCGAGTTGGAGGAGATGCTCGGGAAATCTTCTCATAACAAGTAACAAACTAACATATAAGCTTAGAAAGACAGGTCCTCACAAAGCATATTGTTTATTAACAGCCTTTTTTTAAAACTAATGGTAGTTTAACAGGGAATGATCTCCTAACCTTGGGTATTTAGTTTAGTGTGGGTTGCCTTTCCTTTCTCCCTAATTGTAGTTCCCCTATCCCTATTTTTTCTTGGTAGTTTTTGTAGTATATAAAAAAAATCCCGCTTATATATAAAAAAGAGAGAGAATGTGCATTGACATGCTTCAAGTCAACTTCTGAAACACCAATAATGCAATCTGGAAGCTAGCGTGTGCCCTTTCCCACCGAGTTATGAGCTCCCCTCAAGGATCAGCTGAATATGCAAATAAAGACTATGCCTACCCTTTGATGCATTGTTCTCAGTGGAATGGGCACTCAAATGCACTTTCAAATGTGTCCCATTCACAGGGATTGTATACCAAAGTGCACATTCCGCTGAAAGCAGTTCCACCAACCCAGTGGCCTGCCTGCCTAGTGTCCATACCAGATAGGTCAGGGGGTGGAAGGTTGTCAGCTAAGCAGTCAGTCACTCTTGTTTAACTTAGGACTGCGGGCAAACAGATCCTACTCTACAAAGACAGAGGCAAATGGGGATTTCCTCTAAATCTGGCCTAATCCGTACGCTAGTTCAGTGGGCAGGGGTAGTTGTCCGTATGCCTCCCTCTGTGTGTGTGTGTGTGTGTGTGTGTGTGGCAAAAAAACTTGACCAATCAGGGATTCACTCAGATGGAGAAATGTGATGGCTACTAAGGGGCTAAATGAATTAGTCTACTGTCTTTTGAAGAAGCCATTCAGGATCAGGCCTATATAACTGAAGCAAAAATGGGGGGGAGGCGTCTTTAAACACCTCACCTCCATTTCCCCAGCCACCCTGCCAAGGGAGATAGTAAGACTATCCCACGGGAGAGGAGTGGCACTGGCTGCCAGAGCATTGCTCTGGCCCACTTCGGGTCCAAATGACCCCTGGCTAAGGCAATTCTGCTGAGCAAACCTCCCCGCTGGCTGTAAGCCTCCCACCTCCTCTCCTACACCTGACAGGCAGCTACCTGTCCAGTGTGGGAGGGGGAGGAGTATTAGAAGGCACTGTGGATGCAGGGCTAGCAGGATCACTAAGGCATTGCTGCTGGGGTGGGCTCCCTTGTGGCTTTAAGCACCCTGCACCTATTGCTGCACCTGACAGACAACCACCTGTTAGGTGGAGGAGGTGGGGGGAGCATGTTGGAAGCCATCAGAGAGGCTGGGCCAGCAGCATTACTGCACCTCACAGGTGGTTGTTGGCCATTCCTGATTTCCTCAACTCTCGTTAGCTCTGTGCAGTTTCTTGTAACCTTTTTTTTAAACCTTAGAACATTGAGCTCTGCAGCTGACCAGTCAGAGAACGGGGGGTGCAAGGAGGCAGCAGCCTGGCAGCCACATAGGAATCAATGGGGTGAGCACATTTTACCCCTTTTGACGCCCTTCTTAGTGAGCATCTACGTCGTGGTAGGAGTGTTCTCCCTGAATTTTGTGTTTCTAGGTCCAGCGGTTTGGCCTGGGTGTTGATTTTACGGTGAGGGGACTTTCTTTATATAGATAGATGGTGTATATAGGCAGGGTTGTCGTCCTGTCATTGGTTCTGGAATGTAAAGGTTAACCTTAAAGTGCAATGGTGGGGAAAACTTACTAATGTTTGGTTACAAAAAGCCTTTGTGTGGGAGGGGGCAAGGATAGGGTGCTGAGGTTCTGCAGGATATCATGATAATAAAAATTCCTTAACCAAAAAGGGGTTGGGAACTAATGGTATATGTGGTATTTTGCTTTAAAGAAAGGACAGTTAACAGGTAATACTTCTCCAAGTCAAAAATGGAAGACTTTTATCCCCCCTCAAAATAGTTGTCAGGAAAATTATTCTATATTTGGGTAATCAATTCTGTGTCTACTTTTGTGACCTTCCTGAACTTCCAGTTGAATAATATTGAACAGGCAGAGGAATTCTAAATATTTTTATCAACATGTAAAGCGCCATCAGTCACAAGTTTTAGGCAACGCCTAAGAACACGATTAAATAAAGAGGTACACAAAAGCACTGAGGTGAACTTTGGCCACCAGAGGGTAGTCCTTCTGAAGCAATCCATCTTTATGTCAGCAAATTGCTTACTAATGTGTTGACTTATAAGTAAAATGAAAAGGCTGGAATTTACAACGTATCAATGAATCGGCTGATAAGCTTTTACTGGTTTAATATCCTCCGCGCTTTGCTGCCTGGAGCCACATCAGGTTAGCAACAGAATGTTTGCCCATCTCTATGTGATAAAGTCAAATGGCTAAACAAACTCCCCAGACCATTATACTGTTTGGCGAGATTTAAATTAAAAACTTTGGGAAGGAGTCATGTGGGGAGGAAGGAAGGGCACAAGAGCAAACTCTGCTGTTTTACAAATAATGCACCTAGCGTTCTAAGCAAAGGTCTGGATTTTTAGCTAGACTGGAGATAATGTGATGCATTTGAAAAGGTTTAATTACAGCAATAAAAGGCCATACCTCAATTAGATGACATATACAAGCATAGTTTATAGATAAGGATCAAAGAGACTCACTACCAAAGACAGGGAATTCTAGGCAGCACTTCACTTTCTGTATACACTGGTGTTAAAAATTAGCATAGCTTGGTTGCAGTAACCTTTCCAAGTCTCTTTGATCAAGCTTAGTAAGATCTTGACTGGATTAATGTAAAAAAGCGCTACTGTACCACTGTCAGTGCAATGGAGTATTTTATAAAGGAGTGACATTTCAAACACAGGACCGAACTTTGTGGGATTTTTCCAAAACCCAGTACAAAATGGATTTATATGTTCCTGCCAAAGGAAGTGGATAGATTTTAATACAGTTTACTCAGCCACTGCTTTGTAGCTTCTTTTAACTGCTGTGGTTCACTAGGAGTTTGGGAAGCAAGAAGATAAAAAAAACACAACCTTCCATTTTATAAGCTTCTTTAAATATCTAAAAACAAATGTTTGACAGGAACTGTCCGAGTGCCTCAAGGAAACTGATAAAGCAGCCATCTCCAATGCGTTGCCTGTGGGCATCATGGTGCCCCACGAATGCATTTCCTAGCAACCACTTGCTTACAGGTTGGCTTCAACAGGTATGGCAAGAGGTACAATAATGACCAACCGGCACAGCTGACTGTGCTAAACTGGGGCACTTTAGGATGGGTCAAGGGTTGGGCAGTATGCCCCTCACTGGAATCCCAGTTCCCTCTGAACTGAGGGACTTGACGCATGGTGCCTCAACACAAACCTAAGTCACTTTCCCTAAGCAATATGTTTGCCTGACACACAAACTACAGCGGACTGCAATGGAACTCTTTTTCTGGAGCCTGGCGTGATTGGCTAACAGTGGAGAAGGGAAAAGGTGGTGAATGACAAAGAGAGGGAAGCACTGGTTTTGCAAGGGAAATGCACCACGATAAGCCATTTTGTGATTAGCTCAGCCCCTACGGCAGAGGTTTTGTAACAATGCCCACTACTTCTTCTCAAACTTCCAGAATTGCCTGCAGGCTCAGGAACATCGGGTGCCCTGTGATAAAAGCTGCAAAAACTGGAAATGGGCAGAGTGTGACGCAAGCTTCATATTAAAAATCTATATTTTACTCTATACGTGTAGTGGAGTGCTGTGTGCCCTTATGTGAATCACAACAAATTGCCCCAGTGCTACAGAAGCTTTGCTCTTCTTTTTGAAAGAGAAACACTACTGCTTTTCATTTACCAGTCCTTGAATAGAATGGCATGTAAATAGGTGACCATGTTTGTTCTCATCCATCCATTCACAAAATGTATTAGAACAAGGCTGCTGGGCAGACTGGAATAGAAAAATCCAACTGCTTGGCTCTTATTTAATCTGCAAAGGAACAAGGTGAGGAAATGGGAAAAAGGGGGGGGAGCTGTAACTGTCTGGGATGGGGGAAGATCTGTGATGATCCAGAGGGAAGACAGAAATGCAAAAAATGATAATGCAAAAAATGAAGGGTGGTTAACAAAGGAGTTGAGAGAGACCTATGGAGCTACACAGAGAGAAGAGTTTTCCATGGGGCTGTACAAAGAAGAAAGGGCATGGTCAAAAAGAAAACAATGAGTTAAAACCGCAACAAATGCTCTTCTACTGTTAACGTATAAATGTGATCCTCTTGAAGGCAATTGTTGCTCTTTTTTTCCTGTAACACTGGCCCCCTGAGTTAACTTCAGTTGTGCAGCCTGGGTTAGAGACAAGGAAGTTGAATTTGAAAGGTAAAATGGCTCTCCCCATTCCTAATGTTCTTCTATTTTTTGTGCTCTCTCTCTGTGTGTATGTGTGTGGAGGCTAAGAGGCCTGAACATTCCTTACCCCACCTACAAAACATACGTAGAAGTCTGTTCATGTGGGGCTTGTGTGTGCACCCTGGATGGTGGCCAGGTGTATAATAGCTTTATCTCAACATCCTCTCTGTATTCAACAAATCTTCAGTTCCTCAGCCAACTTGTACAAGCTTCCTTTTAGGATAAAGACTGATCCCTGATTAACATGTTACAATTCTTGATGTGATAAAGTCACCTCGAGGTGGTTTTACACCCTATCAGTTTTGTTAGGGAAATACCTTGTTTGCATGGGCCCTCGCATGGTGAGAGTTGGTATTTACTGTGACTGAGCAAAGCACTCGTGGGCCCTTTGAACTATGCTCTGATTGGTGAGGGAACCACGCATTAGCTGCAACTACTACTGCAAAGTCCTCATGGTAATTCTAGCACATCCGAAGAGTAACATGAATCAAATGTGAGAGGTGAAAATAAAGAGTTCAGATTGGAAGAAACATTCAGCCAAGGTTATGGATTCTGATCATCATCCCCCCCCCCCTGGTTTGAGTGTTGTTATGGATGGAAGGTTTAAAGGAGTATAAAAATACTGTGCAGTAATAAATATTAAGAACATTTGGGTTCACTGTGCCTATTTCATGTCTCTTATGCTGTAGCATCAACACTGTCATTAATTTTTTTTTTTGTGCCATTGGCAGCCTTGTACACACCGAACGGCTACCCGACAAAAGTTATTTTAAATGGGACCTCGTAGAAGAATCTCAGGTGCAGCGGACTGCAAGGAGGGTTCTTCACATCACAAATCAAATGGTTCAAGCTTAAAACCTGAAACACTTAAAGTATTTATAAGTTCTCCTACTAGTTGCTACCAAGGACAAAAGCAAAAGAACACTTCAGCCTGAGGTTAAACTTCTATTTTGTCATATACAGAAGAGAGGGACTATACTGCTAATACACCATATAAAGATACAAAGGTTCCTGTTATAATCAGAAAGGTATCCTTTATTTTGAATAATTAGCTGACCTTTGACTTATTTTTATAATACCATAAAAATTTCAAGAAGGAAGAAGAGGTAGATAAGCCAGAGCTAAAAATGTCCCACATACCTTTTCTTCAAAGAATTTTTTCCGCAATTTGGGATCTTTTGGAGGCACTGTTTTTCTCAGATTCTTATACCATTTTCTAACAATGTACCCTCTCCAGCAAGCCTGAATTCTGAGGGACAAAATATTACAGATTGTTTATGGGTTCAAACAGCTGCAGTGAAATCTAGAACAGCCTAGAGATGCGTCCAGTGGCACCTTAGAGACCAACACAATGTATAAAATCTAGAAATACGGGTTTCAGGTGGAGGCTTTACATTTGCTCTTGTGGAAGCTGCCGCCTGTAATAACTTATTCATGTTCTTTATACCCTGACTTTCTCCCCAGTGAGGACCCAAGGCAGGTTTCATCATCACCCTCTCCTACACTTTCTCCTTGTAACAGCCAAGTGAGGTTGTTTCAGCTAAGGGTGTGTGACTGACCCAAGGTCAATACAGCATAAGCTCTCATGGCATCACAGTGACTTGAACATGAGGTCTCCCAAATCCTGAACGGACACTAACCACCACGGCACACTGGCCTATAAGCAGGTCTAATGGTCCACAGTGGTCTATTTCTGTAGGTGGTGGTGGCTACTTTAAAAGAACAGCTCACCACTGAGATGGCTGTCCAGGACCCACAGTGCTCAGCAGATGTAAGGCTGCAACTCTGATTTCAGAATTCATTGGCACTAGCCCCTTCATTTTCTTTCTTTACTCAACTACAGCAAGTTATCTCACAGTTACAAAAGTTAGTCCTACTCTGAAAGTCTTAGGTGTTTCCCATAAGCATCCTGGGTTGTGTGGTCTTCCCACTGCTGATGTGGCTGCTGATAAAGTGCAGGGGCAATGGGCCTTCCACAGGGCAGGTTCTCTGCCCCAGCACTGTCCATCCCCCCAAGCTACTGAGGCTTTTACAATTTTTTTAAAAGGACCAGAAATTTCATATTGTTATAGTGATATATCATTGTACCAATAGGTGTAACAGGCTTTTTGAATCCCCAGATTTCATTTACAAATTAACTCTACTGTAGCCCCTTCCATTGCAAAGATATGTCTTTCCCCTTATATCTCTGCAATGGGAAGGACTAGAGACATTTTTAAAAAATGAAACCTAGGGATTCAGAGTACCTGTGACACTTACTGTTACAATGATGGATCAGTGTAACAATATGAAAGTGCTGATTAAAAAAAAATGGTAGGGAGGGAATGGCTTCCACAGGGGCAGTGTTAGGGGAAATGGCTGTCATGTGGGTGGAAAATTCAGATCACCCACACATCTACGCTTTACTGGAGTATTTCCTAAAGCCTCGGAGCAAAGCAGGTTTGAGAAAGATCGGAGAAAAGCTGGGAAAACCTGGAAAATGCACCACAGTGCTGTGGGAAGCAGGAAACCCCCTGCTCTGTCTCCCAACAGCATTAAACCTGGGACCCATATAACCCATGTAGAAATGGCCCCTGTTACTGATTTTTGTACCAGTTATTACCAGTGTTCCCTCTAAGCTGAGATAGTGTGAGCTAGCTCACAGTTTCTTTAGCCTCCGGCTCACGCATTTTTGTCTTAGCTCAGGAAGGATGGCTTCAGAGCAAACTAATTTATGCAGTAGCTAAATCGCTCACTCACAACTTTAATGTCAGTAGCTCACAAAGTAGAATTATTTTTGCTCACAGGACTCCACAGCTTAGAGGGAGCATTGGTTATTACTACTAAATATTCTATAGTTAATGACATTTTTATGGCTCTTCCAAACTCCAGGAAGCTGTTGAGAACCTCCATGCTGCAGTACAGAAAATGAACTGTCAGTGTTTTTAATTTTTTTAAAATTATACTTTAAAAAGTACACAAATGACAATGGGTTAGAAGGAGTTATATTGGAGGCTTCAAGTGATGTCACAAGCACTAACCTTTGACATGTACAGAGCCACACTTTGCATAGCACTCACCAATGCTTATTTGCGGGGGGAAATATTAAATTCCAGCATCTCATTATTTTGAATGCTGGGGAATTGCAACCCCACCCCCTCCACCACTCTAGCAAATTCATCACCATCACTTGCAAACACTCCCCGAAAAGCAACTCCTAAATCTCTAGTTTCCCCATAAACATTTGCATAGAAGGTTTTCTATAACTCTTGAAATACACATAAAATGGGGGGGGGGGGATGACCACAAGAGCCATCCTCTAATTCTCGAGATTTAACACAACACCCATCACCGCATAGTATCTCCTACAAATACAGGCTTTTCAACAAACGTTTCTCAGTGAAAACAGTTTTGTCATTTGCCAGTCATCCTTACCTTGTAGCACACTTTATTCTAAATAGGCGTGCTCCATCATGAATTACTCGAGTTTGATACTGGATCTTTCTACACATTGGACAGGTCTTTTTACCTGCAAATCTTTCAAAAGCTTTCAGGCATGCCTAGAAAAATAACACGGTTTTTACTTTAAATCTGCTTGAAATGGTTTTTTTTCCAGCTTTATTCACAAAACTTGGGGGATACAGTGTGCTAAGCATGATAACCTGCAACAGGAGAAAGGGAGGATACACAACACAAAAGTCTAGAAAGATATCATTCCAAAATAACAGCTGGGGGGAGGAGCAACCTCTGTCTTTCTTGACCAGCTCTTGGTTCTTCCATGTTCTCTATAAGCCGTGTGCCATCCTTATCAGAACTGGGTGGAGCACCGTGCAGAAATGAGACTGCTCAACGACTTTATATTATATTTAGAAAGCAGAATTTGTTCTTTCATGGCTATATGAATTGCTCTAATAGAACAGCTGATGAAGCTATTTGCTACCTGTTGTTAACTCTGACGAGCTAATTTTTTTGCTATTTTATCAACAATTAAGGGATTCAATGTTACACTCAATTACATATGCTGAATGTCCTTTGACCTAAAAGCACATACCTAGATGCATCCCTGACAGTACAATATTTGCGATGTTCTTATGTATACAAACTATTATGTTTTCAAAAAAGATAAAAGACCCATCGTGAAAGATTATACCTGAACTATTATTGCTTTACGTAATAGAGAAGCGAGTGGCTTATGCCAGTCACCAAAGTAGCAAAAAATCTATAGACAAAATGGGGAGACCCCTGAGCAAGTAAGAACACTTGGCCACACATCAGGATGATGTGCAAACCAACAAAGAAAAACCAAGCAAAACCCCTAATGAAGACTGATTACATTAAAGGTAAAGGTTCCCTTGCTCGAAAGCCAGTCGAGTCCGACTCTAGGGTTGCGGTACTCATCTCCGTTTCAAAGCCGAAGAGCCAGCGCTATCCGAAGACGTTTCCATGGTCATGTGGCCGGCATGACTAAACACCAAGGCGCACGGAACGCTATTACCTTCCCACCGAAGTGGTACCTATTTATCTACTTGCAATTTCTTGCTTTCGAACTGCTAGGTTGGCAGGAGCTGGAACTAGGGACGGGAGCTCACTCCATCATGCGGCACCCTCGGGTCTCGAACTGCTGAACTACTGATCTTCTACAGCCTGCAGTTCAGCGTCTTAACCACTTGAGCCACCGCATTACATTACCGGAGATATAAAATGCTGGCTAGCTGAGTGTCAGCTAGAGAGAAACAGGCTTGTTAAAGCTGCAGAGGGCTTATAGAATCTTGACATGGGAGATTTTGACCCCTGATTTGTTCCCTTTAACAGCAATCTATGATTCAGTGAGTCAGTAGTAGAGCACCTGCTTTGTACGCAGAAAGCCTGTGACATCTCTGATTCAAAGCATCTCAGGTGGCAAGTGTTGGGAAAGACCTTTTGCGGCCTGTGGTTCTGGAGAGCTGCTGCCAATTACAGTAGACAGTGCTGAGCTCAATGGACCAAACGTCTGGCTTAGTATTAAGCAGCTTTGTATGTTCATGAATCCTTTCACTACAGAACCAAAAGCAGTCCGCCCTCTGAGAAGGCTGGAGTTTCTGCATATTCGAGGACCTCACAGGCATGCCAAAAAATATCTGTACATTAAAAATAAAATATTTCCTCCAGGGGTCATTTCGTAGAAAAAGAGCTAGGGGAACTCATTAGCATAACTCATTAGCATATGCCACACCCCCTGACATCACCAGAAGTGTGTCCTCCCCACAGCCGGCGGCGACCTCCAGCGGGCACCAGCAGGGAGCTCCAGGCCCCGCCCTCCCGCACCTCACCCGGGGGGATGGCGTCCCCCCGCATCCCCCCCCAAATGACCCCTGATTTCCTCCCCCAAGGCCTGATGAGGGTTGTGCATACAATAGGAGGCATGGAATCTTGACAGCAGCTGAGTCAGTTAAGGGGGCGGGGGGAAGAAAACAAACTTAGAGATGTAACATTGCTGCCTCAAGCCTGTAAGGACTCCAAGCATCCAGGAGGAGGAGATTTCTCTCTTGTTTATCCCCTGTTCCCCCTGACTTCTCACAGCCCTTCCCCCTGTCTGTTGTGTTTCAAACGGTTCCAACAATTTAATTTATATTAACCAACAAAGTGCAAGTTAAAAGACTGATATGCTGCACATTTTACTTTAAATAGCTTACAAGGGGGTTTACTTACTCTGTGAAACACATGTGAACATGACAGAAGCACCTGTTCGGAGAAAAATGAAACTACCTTGAAACTTACAGATGTTCAGAAAATGTATTCCATGGTAACAACTACTGAATACCCAAAGCATGGCAAATAAGGAGATGTTCTCATTACAAAAACAGAAAATTGCAAGAGTTAGATTTTTATGTCTACAAAAGAATTTCCCAACTGTATTTAAGCAATTTTGCTAAAGTAAACAATGGCCCCGTTCACACGGGCCGGATATCGCGCGGGGGGGAGGCGTGGCTAATTGTCCCGGCGCAGTTTGACCCGCGATTACGCGATCAGACATGCCGGCGGCACACCACGGGTCCTTCTCTCGGCGCCGGCAGGTAAACGAGGGACCGGAGGGGAATGCCGTGCGCCGGTGCGATCACACTATGGGAGTCTGGAGGCAGCCCATGGCAAACGTTTACTAGTACCTGGGAGGTACTAGTCTTTTAACTCGCATTGTCGGCGGTAAGCCACGGGTGCGCTCCACTTCCCAGATGTTGGGGTGTGATCGCGCCCGGATAATCCGCCCACCATCCGTGCCTCTCCCACGGCAACTTTGCTGTGTGACCGGGGCCTGTAGTAGGAAACCAAGAGACAGAATTTGCAGGGCAACCTAACTACTTTTGAAACTTCCTAAGTTTCAGAAGTAGTTTGCAATATGACACGGGGGAAAGGGTGGGGTGCTGTAAAAGAAATGTAAATCTAAAGCCCTATCAGGCATAGGTAAACAGCTGCACAATTATTTACATCCAAGTTTTATTATTTTAAATGGGAAAGTGTTCAACAACTTAAATAAATCTTGCTACACTGATAAATAAACATTTAGGTTGGACATACTTATGTCTTATTGTGCCACCAAAGAAGCAAAATGTCACCCACTGTTGTTGACATAAATGATTATTACAGATGTTTAGGACAGAGATGTAAAAAGGTTTTATTGCAGTAGCTGTAAAAGAATAAAAATAGTGATTTCTATTCATTGTCAGTGGGCGTTAAAATTTTCCTCGTTTCAAAAATACTCGAATTCAAGAAGATAGTGCTTCTTAGCATTTTTTAAATGAGTGCTTGCAAGCATTATGAAATTCTTCCTTATATGATCCAAATTCTGAATAATCATAAGTGATTTCTAGTCAGGCAAAAAATATTGCCTTCAATTAAAAAATAGAAAATTATGGCAAGAAGTACTGCAGAAACAGTGAAGATGAAGAATGCAGTGTGTCCTATTTAGCTGGCAGACACAAAACGATTAGCAGCCAATAGTCGGATGGAAAGGAAACCAACTAGACTGCCTGTATTTTTTGCTGAGTCTAGAAAGATATGTGCTTTCACAGAAGTACATTTTTGTTCAATGTACTCCATTACCAAATTAGTGATAGCCATGGAATCCCACATGGTAATAAACCATGTCTTGTAATGGTGTCACTTGCATGATGACTCAAAATATCATATAGATGAGGTGCTATGGGTCAACACTGTTGCATCAGAGATGTGCAATGGTACTGAGGCCTGGAATTAGATGAGAACATGCCTGCTTGATGAAGGGAAATGTAGGAACATAAAGGAACTGAAAGGCCCTACCTCTGGAGGTATGATGAGGCCTAAACCTGGCCTATTTCTAGTAGCTTAAGGTGTCTATATAAGAATGCAGAAGTGTGTTCTTGGTACAGTACTGAAGAAATGACTCCGACAACTGACATGATTGCTCCTAGGTTACCTCTCTCATGTCTATGAGCCTGGGCAGCCCTTGGTTTACTGATGGGCTGCAGATGATGAAAAGACAAGGGAAACTGTTTCAGTGACACTGGAGAAAGACTTGTGATGAACCTGACAAGGCATGGGTCAAAGCTCATTTTAAAGCCTACCCTGGGACAGTGACAGGGGTGAAGAAACAATACTTCTCAGCCACTATTACAGCCACACAATGTAGACCTGCAGAACTCTTTGGGGTGGTTGGGGCCTATTGGTTTCCAGCCTACAGGAGGTGGACTGCTGTGCAGCTCCCTTACACTCCACATTAGCAGTGACAGGATTGGATGGTCATAGGATGTCCACTTGTCCAGTTATATGGGATACCTTTCAGATGCTGTTACATCTAGTTTGGCCTAGAGAGACCATGCAATTCAACCCAAAGGAGTAAAACACTGTAATCTTCAATTAGCTTCTCTAAACTGGATGTGGTGCTTGTTATAGACAGTGATTGTAGTCAGCAGTCCAACATATTTAAACTTTACTTTGCAAGAAAGGTGGCTATTCTTAGGTAAACAAAGTATCTACTATAGGACTGTCGTGAGTCAGTCAGGGGAGGAGGAATTCACAGGAGAAGAGGAATCCTGCTCTGAATCAGCAGAAGCTGGCAAGCAAGAAGATGAACTGCAGGCTAGGCACAGTTCACAGCTGAAAGCTGATGCAGAGCCACCAGCCCCTTCCAACAGATGAAACCCAGGTGGTCGTTACGCAGTGCTCCCTCTAAGCTGAGTTAGTGTGAGCTAGCTCACAGTTTTCTAGCCTCTGACTCACACATTTTTGTTTTAGCTGAGGAAGGAGGGCTCCAGAGCAAACTAATTTATGAAACAGCCAAATTGCTCACTCACAACTTTAATGCCAGTAGCTTACAAAGTAGAATTTTTGCTCACAGGACTCCATAGCTTAGAGGGAGCACTGGTTACCAGCCCTCCAGTTTCACTCACACCCTTTGTGCATGGAGATGAAGGCTTAGAATGGAGCTTCAGGAAAGAAGACAAAGCGCATGTCTCCTGGCCCGACACCAGCTGCTTGCTGATGATGAGCAGCTGCAGGGTTACTCCCAAGCAGCTGGCTGCAAGTAAGCCCTTCCAGCAGAGGCCTATAAAAGCCAGTTAAGGGAGACTGCTTGATGTGGAAGCAGCAAGTCATCACCCAGTGAACTCTGCAACCACAGCTCCTGACTCTGCTTTGCTCCAGTGACCTTTGGACTGGATTTGGATCTCGGACTTGCTTACTTTTGTGTATGAGTCTGGACTGAATGACTCTGCCTTGTCTGAGTTCTGGAACCCTGACTTGGACTGACATTGATTACTGACTCTGGACTCTGACTGTACCTAGCTCTTGACAAGAACAAAGAATACCTGTGGCTGAAGTGCAAATTCTTCTCTGCATATGGCACAAGGGTGTACAGAATCTCCTTGTTTTATGGATCGTTGCTTCACATGCTCCCATTCATCTGTTGTTAGTGGAAATGCAGGAGGCTCCACCAAGCCAAGTTTCTGAGCTATAAGTGAAGCCCAAAATGTAGTAATGGAGCACATTTTAAAACATTTATTTTTACTTTATCTAAGCATCTCCATTACCAAGTATATTTTAAAAGCTTTATATCTATATTCATTAGCTACTCATTGGAGTTCTTTAAAGACAAGCTTTGAGAGAATCATTAATGTTGCTCATATGCTATTAAGTGATCTGTCAAAATTCCAGATTGTCAGAATGGATAGCCAGTCCATGAGTTTGAGGTTTAAATGTCCCAAGTTTAGATGTCTTACTGAGCAATCAAAATCATGAATCATGCTAGGCAAAGTTTATGGGGAAACAGACAGGCTGGCATCCCAAACTGGAAGCCAAAAAGAAAATTTGGTCTTAGACAATATAACTCCTAAATATATGGGCAACGTGAGTGCCTATGCAGAGATACACATGCTGATACACACTCAAACCAACCTTTAAATCTGATATTCATGTTTTACATTCACTGTGTTAAAATTCATTAATAATCAGACACAGAGAGAATCATGATAATGTTAACAATGTACATGATTGCACTCTATCCTGTATTTTATCATTTTAATACATGAGGGACACAGGACATTCATTCATTTTTATTTACCCTTAAGCCTTACTTGTTCAGATAGACAGACATGCCATTTAAGATAAGAATTTAGCAGATAAACTGTATTTTTCCCATCCAAGCGGTACCTATGAAAGTCATTAGTAAAACTACCAGCTGAGAGCTGGGTGGTGTTAAGCAAAACCCAGAATCACAATCAGATAGATCATAACATCTAGTTCTGTAGATTTCTAATCATATCCCTTTATTTAATTGTCATACCTACTGCAGCATAGAAAGCACCCTGCATTTTTTGGAAAATGCACAGATGGTACTTAAATGCAGACTGACATGTAAACCCAGGATTAATCTGTCCTGTCAGAATTCACTCCTCCAGCTAGCGACTCAGTCATCAAACCAATTCAACAGAGTGTTCTTTGAAGGGCTCGTGCTGTCATTTATGGAAGATCTGGCCGATCTCAATGGTTTGGAGAGAGCCTTTCTCATATCTTATATATTATAATGATTTTCTTTTTTTTTTGATACTGTACAACAGTAACAACTTGTTCCACGGTCTGGGGCTAAATAATCTGACTGCGTTAGAATTTGTGTTGGTAATTTGGATTGGACTAGGCAGTCGTTCAACTTGATTCAGCTACCCTGAGGTAGAATCCTACCACAGATCTCTTCAACTTTGGGCTAATGTGAAACATCCAGCATTTTTTGTTGTTGACACAACCATGCTCTTAGGAATGTAAATAACAAAAGGGCATCATTCATGGCTGTTCCTTTTCCAGACAATGCAACTATTGATCTCCTTGCCAGTGACAAATCCCATCATACCTCTCACACCTCTAGTACCTGGGCCATTATCCAGCAGACACCATTCAGATGATCTTACAACTGTTAGGACTGCACTGTCTTGCAGTGGAGAATCACAGCTTTTGAAAACAGTAGTTTGAGTGAGAGTAAAATGAGGAAAGAAATATAAAGCTGACTTAACAAAGTTCTACGAATGGGTTAATGACAGTGATGCAGAAATTTACAAAGTGGGAAAACGGTAAAAGTGGATGGAGGCTGGGCAGGTTTTCCTGATTGTTAGTCAGATAATATAACATGTTACCTCGTAACACCATTATGTGTTGCCTCTGTAACTCCTGTTTCCTGAGGCAGGATTCCAAATTCCCGCATCCATGCATTTTATTCTAAGGCATGTCTATTTCTTGATTTGAAGAAGGTGTTTAACTACAGGCGTAATTCATAGGTTTGCCTCCAAATCATTATGAAAAATTAACTTGTACAATTTTGAGCAAAGGGTAGGTAAAGGTTAAGTACAAATACTATGCCCAGACTAGTAAACTGTCTTTTGCAAAAGCAATAATTGCCCAGGAGCCGATGCTATTATCTCAGTGACAATTCAAATACAATTCTGAATGATCATTCAAGAAAACTGCTGCTTACCTGTGACTATCCCTAGGTACACACATTGGGTATGCCCATGTGAGCACGCTCCTCCCACACCACCAGCCATACTGCGTGCACAGATAAAGGGAAGGGGAATGGATGAATTGTGCCTATGTCTTCAAAGTTTCTTGCACATAGAACCTCTGCGATCAGAGACACTATACCTTTGAATAGTAAATACCCAGGACAGGTAATACAGGTGCTGTTGCCATCACACTCTGCTTGCAATCTGCTCCGAAGCATCTGACTGGCCAACAGTTGGAAACAGAATGCTGGAGACCAAACTACAGGGACCTGACTGGAAGATCTAGCAGGGCTCTTCTTAAGTTCATGTGCTAAATTGCAGCATGGGAAACAACATCTTCATATATATGGAAACATCTTCATATATATATGGAAACAGCATCTATCTGATTAATTTCACAATAAGCAAAAATGACATACTGGAGCATGATGATTTACCTAATGTAAGAGGCTGAGGACAAGGATCGAGGACATATTCTTGTTCTGGGTCTTCATTTTCTTGTTGGTGACTACCTGTTTTTCTCAGTCCGGTATCTATTAATGCTCTGACGTTCCCTTTGTTCACAGGTTTGTATGCGTTCTTTTTATTCTGTGCCTTTGATTTAAAATGATCGGCTAATGAAAGATTCTTGAGCTGAAGATTATGTAAAATGTGGTCTTGTAATGCCACAGCAGTAAGCGCTACAGATTCTTGTTTGCAGGAACTCCCCTAAATAAAGTTTCATAATTATTATTATAAATTACTCCTGTATGTGTACGTTATGTACAGCATATTAAACAACAAAAGAAATTCAGCCCTCAGCCAATGATGTTTTTTTAACTTGACAGAGGCTTTATAAAGCCCATAACTACTCCCATGCTTGAAGTCTTACTAATATACAATTACCATAATATGAAACCTAAGATTGATGTTTCTTGACACATCCTAACTTTAACTTATATAAAGGCAAGAGAAATCTTTGATTTATCATTTATATTAAATAAAATAGCAGCAATTTTTAAACTTTTAATTACCGAACCCATAATTATTATGTGCAATAAACTCATTATACACTATAAAAGTTTGGCATGCCTAAACAGATTTTGTTTCTGTATAATTAAAAACACAACCTAAGGCTACTTCTGCCTTCCAAAGAAACTGTGCATTAAAGAAATAATGCTCGTAGACAATATATTATATACATTAAGAAAGCTTATTCATAATGCCTTTTTTAATGCCTACATCTTTTAGCATGTTTTACAACCATAGGATCCATGCACCTTGTAGTATTTCTTTTGCATTACTGGAACTGGAGGCAGTGATGATTTCCTGATGTTCGAAACCAAGCGATGCTCCCCTGATTTGAACTATTGATAGCTGAATGCTTGTAGTCCTAAAACAACAAATACAAAATGCTAGAGGAGTTAGTGGACATGCCAATACAAAACATGGGGAGTATGTGGAGCACACTGTCAAAGTGCTGATGTTGCCATGGGGGCATGGCGGGGCAGATCGGCCTATTAGGCTGTGTGGGGGTTCTAGTGCCACGGCCAATCCCCACAGAACACAACAGTCATATATATTTTGTTGATTTAAATGCCAACATGCAGTGGCTAAAATGACTGGAGAAGGAGGCTTAGGTGAACAGACCTCAAGGGGAACTTGTGATGTGTTCTAAAATAAAAGTATATCCACGCCTCACTTTTGTTCTGAGCTCCTCGTCAGAGATTTAATACTTTACCTTGTGTCTGGGTGTCTTGTACGGTTTGTAAGAATCTCACACACAAAATGGAGTCATGAGATCAAACCCCAAAGCTCCTCACCTTTCTCAGAAAATGTAGGCAACTGGAGACACTCTGAATTACATAGTCAATGAAGTCCCCAGAATAGAAGTCTGCTGTTGACTTAACACTTTTTCTCTCTCTCCTGAAATTCAAAGCATGAATAGACCAGCCAGCAGCTGTTCTTTATTCCCCACAAGCTAAAATGTGAAACGTTTTTGCTCAGTCTTCTAACCATCTGCGGCTACCAACTCTGCACTCAGTTATGGTATCTGACAGGAATGTCCTCCACACTTACTCTTTGCTTTGCATTGAGTACAAATCTCGCATTTTTTGATACGCTTTTGGAGTATGAACCACACTGATATATGTTTTTAAGTATACTTACTTGGTGGAGGAAAGTACCTTCAAGTCAAAGCTGACTTATGGAGACCCCATACGGTTTTCAAGGCAAGGGACATTCAGAGGTGGTTTGCCAATTCCTTGGAAGTATGAAATTATTGCTTGACATCAATATGACTTGCATCCAAGGAAGCATGTGCGCCAGGCCGAGTTGCAAGTTCCACTGAAACACACTGAACAATGCACTTTCAATACACTTTGCTGCTTGATTTTACTGTATGAAACACTAAAATACTCTTGCAAATAGTGTTGCCAGCCTCCAGGCAGGGCCTGGAGATCTCCTGGAATTACAACTGAACTCCAGACCACAGATATCAGATCCCCTGAAGAAAATGGCTGCCTTGGAGAGTGGACTCTATGGCATTACATGAAGCGAAGCCTCTTCAAATCTTATCCGCTCTTTGGGTGCAGCTACTTAAGTCTGATTCCCCAAGGCATCTGGCGATAAGCCAGGTGGATATAGTGGAATGCTTGCTGAGAAAGCTGGGAATGGATAACAAGTCTGGATTTACTGGGCATAAATGACATCTGTCACCTCACTGATCGCCATGGTTGATTCAGATGATCTGTTCCCTTCCTCCTTCACTGCTCCATGTGCGTCCCTCCCGAAGCTGCGAGCTCCATTGGAGGACGACCATCCCAGATAGAAGGAGTGTACCATTCTCCAGTCAAGGGTTTACGATAGCTGCGCCCCCCTGCTAGAACCTCCAACATCATGGAATTTGCAACATTAGTTTTGCAACACCCCATCAATGAAGTCCAAGAAAGAGTCAGCAGAATCATCTTTGGCATGTTCCAGAAACATTACGAGACCATCCTAGATCACCTATGCTGCATTACCTTCCTCCTGGGCAGGGGAAGATTTGGAAGGGCATTCTCTACAAGGCACTGTTTGAAGAATTTGCAAAAATAGGTAGCAGAGGGGGCTCCAAGCCATGGGGCATTAGAAGGCTTCCCCTCCGGCGATCCTGCCGGTGAGGGGGGGGATTCATGCCCCGACAGTCCTGCTATGGAGTTTCCTAATGGAACTAGAAGCGCACACTGGATCAAGCGCCGGGTGATCAAGCAATTTGGTACTTAAAGTGAACTGAAAACTATGTTGCCATTGAACTGTGAGTTAAGTTAAAGCGAGAACATTGAAAAAAGCCGAAAGCCACCCCGCGGGGAGCAAGGGGGGAGAGGGGATTCTTCCCCGAAAAGACAAACATAAGCGAACTTTACTGTTTAAGCGGGGGGGGGGGGGGGGGTGTGGGAAACCA